ATGCGAGAAATGGAAAAGAAATACAAAGGAATATAGCAGGAAGGCAATGGAAAGCATATTCCTTCTTAGTGGGAACTCCCCTAGTCCCCCCCCCCGATACTTGGCGTAGTAGATCAGGTGATTTATTCTGTTGTCATATGATTTATGGTTGACTCTTCTATTACAACACTCCTATTTTCAGTAGCCTCTGATGCTATGACCCATTGTTCTGTATATCCTGTAAAAGTTAATCAAAGTTAAAGCTTTACTAGCCATCTTTCTATATTCTCTTTTCCAATTTCGAGTAATAGTCCAATCCGGTTAAGAGCCTTAACGCGTAAAATTAGGTAAATTAGTAATATTCTTGATTAGTGTATTTACTAATATCCTCTTATTTTATCTACTAGATCGACCTTTAGCCTTGAAAATAAGACAACCCTTGAGATTTCTCACACCCCAGTAGGGTTAGTGTCAGTTCAACCTTCAGCCTTGAACATGATGCAACTCTCGAGATTGCTCACTCTTCAGCACTAACTTAATAGCTCGCCCTTGAGACTTGAAAGATATGAGACCCTCGAGATTCCGCAATCACCACCAAATTCACTTTTAACTAAAATATGAAATTCACCTCCCTATATCTTGCAAGCAACTCCTTTGCTCATTTGTACTTTGATCCTTCTTCAGTGTCAGCGATGGCCTCAAGATTTAAGATAAATACTTATTTTGTCACTTATATCTATGAGTTTACAGTTATCTAAGAAGTCTTTAATATTCCACTTAGAGATGTTTCGATTAAAATAAACATGAATCTGGTTTTCAGACATATTTGTATTATATCGATCACGTGATGTAGTACATCTAGGGTTGTTAATGATCCGATCCATCTGAGATTAGACTGAGGATCATCTTCAATATAGACTAATTTTAGACTGATCTTTTAGATCGGTTTTATAACCCGATCTTAATAGCATTACAAAAAAAAACTGAATTTATTGAATTTATTGATTACCCAAAATAAAATGTTTATTTTTATTATTATATTAATGTTAAGAATAGAATAAATTTTTATTCTTTTTACACGTCTTTCCTAAATCATTAGAAACCAAATATTTTATACAAATAGTCATTCTTGATCTAGCCTATTTCTAGTTTTAGTTATTGCTAAACCTAAAATAAAAAAGGCTTGTTCAGATGCTATATAAGAGAGTATCAGATAGTCTTTGCTATGAAGTTTCCATCATATGACTATCACATGAGAATTAAAATATCAGTTTAATTCTTCATTTGAATCATTAGAATTATATATGTTATTATTATTATTCAATATATTTAAAAAGTAATCTCTCGAGGTTGTTTTAGTTTTAGGTATTTGTTGTGCATTTGATGGTATATATGATAAAAACATTTCTTGTAATATTTTAATAGCATCTTGAACTTTATTATCTTTAAATGCTGAACATTTATATCATAGATCCAATAAAAATGATATATTAGATGATTGATCCAAATGATTTTCCAATGTTTTAATAATTTTTCATATATTACTGAAGCTATTTGTTTTTATAAATGAGATCCCCTTCTATGTTGAAGGTTACAAGTGATTAATTCAGCAATATGAGATCCTTTTATAGGAATTATATCAAGTAATAAATTTTTTAATTTCCAATTAGGATTGATATAATGCATTGTTATTCCAAGATAACAATCCTTTAAAATAATTGAAGTCTATATGCCTGTTATAAGAGATACCTTCAAATTAATTTGAGAAATTTCACCTATTAAATCATTTTTCTTTATACCATAGTTTTTTATAAAATTTTCTTTGAAAGTTTGTCTGCATGGTAAAATATAACAAGGATCCAATTTGTTGATTAGTAATATAAGTTCAGGATTTTCAACAATAGTAAAAGGTTGTAAATCAGTTGTAACATAATCAATCAAAAGGTCTGTAATAGGCTTTGATTGTAATAAAAAATAAGGTTTAAAGCACAAGGTAGTTTGACATGGTTCAGGTTTTTTGTATAATGTTGAATGTTTATTTATTAAATGGCATTAAAGAGTAGTTGTTGGATTACCAGTTGAATAAATTTTTGCATATAAAATGCATTTGTAGTTTTTAATTGCCCCATTTTCTTTATCTTGAACTCTATGAAAAAATTCCCACACATATGAATTGTGAGCTTTTATATTTATGAGAGTTTCCTTTTCAGTTGCCAAAAAATCGGAGGTAACATCCAAATTATTGTTGTTATTTTGATCATTTTCAAATGAAATTACGCCAGACATAGTTACTCAATGAATGCAAATTAAAAAAAATCTTATTTAAGTTAAACGCGTAAAAACATGTGAACAATTATTTGATAATCTAATTGAACTGATCTTTAAGATTGCAATCTGTAAATCTGATCTCAGTCTAGTCTACCCCTCAAACTGGACTGAAACCAGTCCTATGATCAGGACTGGTCCGAACCGTCTAACGTTAGACCGTTAACATATCTACCTATCTCTAAATCTAAGCTATAGCAATATGACTTAACTAATACTAAGTCAATTACTTTTTTAGAAACAGCCAGAAAAATTTATGTTAAAGTTCTAACAAATCAGCTATTTGAAATATGTATTGAACATAACATTTTAAAAGGATTAAATTTGCTGGCCTCCATCACAATTCAACTATTGATCTGCTTCCTATAGTAAATAATAAAGATGGGTACCATAATTAAGAAGTTGCAACTCGGTAAGTTGCAACTCCTTGTAAATTTATTTTAATATAAAAATTCATAAAATGTTGCAACTCAAAGTGTTGCAACTTAAGTTGCAACTAGTTAAAAATTTTTAAAATAATTATGGGAACCATCTTTAGTTAATAATATTCTAAAATCTGTTAGATCTGATACCCGAAGAAATAAGCTCTTGAACAAATAAATTTTGAGTAGAAGTATGATTGTTCTATTTCAAGATATGTCTAAAATATATGACAAAGTAAACATTTACATGTTATAAAAAGTCATGTCTCATTTAAAAATTCTCACAAACTTCATAAACATTATCACTAACCTTTTTTTGAATAGAAGAAATAGAGTTTACACATAACATGGATTATCATCAGAATATGATATTTTAGTTAGTATTAACCAAGGTAAAATTATTTCTCTGCTTTTATGGATCATTTATTATGATCTATTATTATATAAAATCTAACAATCGAATCTAGGGTATAACATTTCTCAAACTTGGTTTTCTGATTTAAATATTCTTATTCCAATATCAGACTCTATTAACATTGCTACTACTGCATACATAAATGATACTATTTGGATTTAAATGATACTTCTAATCTCGAACAGATTATCAATATAGCTGATACTTTCTATCAATTAAATGACATCCAAGTTAACTTAGAAAAATCTTTTTAATTTTGACATTGCTAAATCAAAATCACAACATCAATCTCAACTTGTCTACTACAGTGAACTCTTGATATAACGAATTCTAGGATCTAGATATCAACTTCGTTATAAGCTTATAACGAATTTTTTAAAGAATTTAATTGGCTAGTTCACTATAGTAAAGGTAATTTTAATATATTTGATTTAAAAATTCGCTATATCAAGGGTTCGCTATATCAAGGTTTGACTGTATAAGTAAATCAATCAGTGTTCCAACTTATAATCTGAATTGATTAGATACTTAGGAGTTTGAATTAGTATCGATAATAACAAAAAATTATTATTAATTAACTAAAAGATATCATTGATGACTTTATTCTTAAAATTAAATTCAAACCCATGACTGACAAAATGGTTTTATATCTAAATAATGCTGTTCTTATTCCAAGATTTGAATACAGATCATAATTAACCTTTCTATCTAAAGCTGAATGCAGCAAACTATATGCACTGATTAGATTGTTATCAAATACAAACTTAGAATGAATAAATGCTTATTAAACAGTATTTTTAGACATAATTTAACTTATATCTATAGAGATTTTTACAATGTTCAAATACAAGCAAAATATGGAAGCTTTGCAGTAAAAAGGGAGGAAACTATAAAAAAAAAATTTTTTTGAATTAATGTTAAATCTGAACTTATTTTACGAAAAAAATCATAATTAGCTTAGAAAGTAAAATTTTAATTTTTTTTAGAGTTTCCTTCCTTACTACTGCAAAGCTCTCATATGATTATTTCACAAAATTGATCAATCAGAATAATCTTTTAGTCATTACTTTTAAAATTTGTCTTTGATATATTCAATTTCAACATCATTTACATAATAATCCCCTGATTTCTTAGAATTCAACAAATACTCCATCCAAAAATTCTAGTTTTTTATAATCTCTCTTAAACAATTTATAATATCTAAACTAAAGATGTTAGCCAAAACTCCCTCAAAATAATTTCATCATATTCCTTACTATGTTTTTAATATAGTTTTGGCTAATTTCGGGTTTCGGGGTTTCGTCGTACCCCTCACTATATTTTAATATAGTTTCAGCTGTTTATTAATTGCCTTTTTTGAGTTTCGTCCCTCATCTTTAATCTAAACATTAATTTTACTTAATTAACAAATGATATGTTTCATATTAAAGAAGGTCAAATTCCTTTATGTTCATTAATAGTCAGGATTTGAAATCTTTAATTTCTTATCATATTATATAATTTGAATAATTAATAGTTAGTAAAGACCTCTATCTTATATTATATAGTAATCTTAAATACAAATCCTTTGGATCTCTTTCGCAAATTAGAAACCTCTAAAAAGTTATTGATAATCTAGTCTATATTAATAGATTACTTCTACAATTTGCATTCAATGTTTCACATCTATCAGAATTTGTTACTTTCATTTCTAACCAAAATCAGAAAAGAATAAATTGAACTATTTTTTAGGACAACACTTATCAACAAATAATTATAAGACAATTGATTAAAATCTCTGCTCAAACCATATCTTATTCTTTTTCATCATTTTCATAGACAAAATTTATTACATGATCTCTGCTTTCCTACAAAAAAGCAACATACTTATACATCATATCCTAGCTGTTACCATAACTCAAATGAAGATAAATTAGACTCCAAAGTATCAAATATTTTAGATCTCAAATATGCTTTTTATGTAAATTATGGTTTACTCAATATAATTGATGTTAATAGACTAAAAGGAAACAAATAATTAATAAACTGGATATACTTACCTAGAAGCTCTCTATTCACACTTTCTAATCAATCCCTTTTTCTTCATAATAAATTTTACAACATTAATACCTTTTCACAACAATCCATAAAAATCTCTAGAAATTATTCTAATAATACAAATTTCCTCAAAAAATTGATCATTAATCAAAATACATATCAACATCTTTTACACCTTTAATAACAACTTTATTTATTGCATTTAAATAACCTCCAAATCTTAAAATTTTACACAGATGATTCTCATCTTTTTGATTTTAATAATTTGTCTACTAATTTTAATTTTTATTAAAAATGATAATTTAGAAATTTTTTTCTCAACTGCTATTACCCCATTTAGTCCAATTCATCTATGTCAAAATTATGGCTATTTTATTAATTATACTTTTGTTTTCCCTATATTCTAATATTATAATTTATACAGATAGTCTCTCTTCAATTCAAACTTATAAAAAGATCAAAAAAACATAACATTCTAAATTACTCTACTTTTCTTTTCAAAATTTCTTTTTATATATATTGGTCTTACATTTTCTTTTTAATAAATATTAAATCCTTATAAGTGAAAGCATACTTGGGAATTAAATAGAATGATTATATTGATACTTTAGCTAAAGATGCTTTA